TAGTGGCCACGCACGGCTTGCCCGCAGGCGACGGCTGCAGCGACATTGCGATCGAGGTCCATGCTGCCGATGCCTTCGACACCTTCGTGGAGCTGGCACCGTTTGTGGATTTCCAAAACGACATCGATGGCACACGGCTCCACGCTTCGTCCAGCGATCACGCGATAGCCAAGTCTGTTGCCGTCGCTGGCATGAGCCAGTTCAAGGCCGCCAGCGCTAAATTGCAAGCTGAGCTGCGCCCAGATAAGCTGCCCACCCTGTCCACATCCAAGGAGCTTGCTGGAGATGTCTGCACGTCACTGTACCTACCCCAGTCAGCGTGCAAGACAAGTGTCGCATACCTTGGCATTGGTGAGTATGCTGGCGCCCGACGATATGCACAGCGAGCACGACTGAAGCAGCGTGGCCGTGTTGCTCAGATGAAGAAGCGAAATGGTAAGGTTCGGGCCCCCCGAAGGCGTTTCAAGGGACCCAAAGAGACCCTGTTCAAGAAGGTTTCTTAAGGAATCGCTCCTGCCGTTGGCTCCTCGGAGTGGCTGAGCCTGGAGAGAATGATGGCCCGCAACGGAGGGCCTGCTCACGGTGGCGTTTCGCTGGCGGCTAAGGGCGTTTTGCCTGGTGACGTATGTGCCCGCTTTGCAATGGCCCCAGCTGTGCAATAGTGTCGGAGGATATGGACCGCTTCGCGGCGCCCCGATGAATCTCTTGTCTCACGCTCTGAGCTTTTGAAACTTAGGGAGCTGGCTAGGCCTCTCGAGTGCCCCTCTTGGAACAAGTCCCAGGGGCCAATTTCCAGAGCCGTCCTGAGTTTGAAGCGTGCTGGCTGGCACGCTGAAGGTCCGCTCCCTTGGATAGACCACCAAGGTCTCAAAGTTGATTTGTATGCGACGCCCCCTGCTCCCTTAGCAGCGCAGATGGAGGCTGGACTGCAGAGAGTGAGGGGGCTGGATTTTGCTCGGAAGCTCGGGTTCCCCCAAGGAACCAGGCCCACTCTATTCCTGATTCGGGGTGCCGTGGGGCCGAAAGCCAGAAAGTTAAACCGATTTCAGAAGCATTTAGTCAAGAGCTGTGGATGTGGAGGACTGCGGACCAATGAGCGTGCTAGGCGCCCAGGTTACTTGCGTGGCGGGCTGTGTGAGTGCGGCGAGCAGGACGCAGTCCACCGCGGGCTCTATTCCTGCGCGCTTCCCCGAGTTCTCGAGGCGCGCGCAGCATCTGAGGCGCCTGTTTCCCCCCTCAGCGCTGCGCGCGACGAGCCCGAGAACCCAATTCTCACGCGCGCTGCGCACACGCATGAAGATAGCTCGCTGCCTCGCCCGCCCATGTCGTCTGAGGTGCATCTCTACGACGGACAAGGAAACGAGCTGGACATGGAGCCTGAATCGATCGCTGAATTAACCCCCCAGTCCCCGGTGCGATTGGCGTCCGATGGTTCGAGCACGAAGCCTTGGATTCGGCCGCTGCAGCGGGCTGCATGGGCAGTGGCTGTCTGCCCAGACGAGGGGGAAAATCCCGCGGCGGCGGTCGAAGGCATCGTCCCAGGAGTGCTGCCGCAGACGCCAGCTATGGCCGAACACTGGCATTGCGATTTGCGGTCAGATAGCCTCGCGCCCTACAGTTCTTGGGGCCGGCCGCCAAGCCGCTATCAGATTGTGCCAGAAAAATGTGAATGACCAGCTCGCCCTCTCCAGCCAGCACGCTGGAGTGCGAGCCTTTGCGCAGCTGCTTGAAGGCGCGGCCCTGATGCAGGAAATTCGGCGCGCGAGGGTTCATCGAGATGAGTCAGAGATTCAGGGCCTAGATGGCGACGAGAAGGTCTTTGCCATTGCCAATGCTGCTGCTGACAGATATGCTAAACAAGGTTTAAGCGTGCACCCTGCTCCCATGCCAGACTTCTTCAGTGATTTGGATGTGGCTGGCGAACGAGTGGGGCATTGCACGAAGCTTGCAGCGAGTGTTCTCCCCTGTTTTGACAACGGGGTGCGGCGGGCAAGGCCTCGCCGAACCAGTGCCCCAAGGTCGCGGCGACAAGTGTCGTGGCACGTTTGGAAAAAGAGTGAGCTTGGCCTCCAGTGCAGGAGCTGTTCCAGGGTTGCTGAAGGCAGCTACGACACCGCCCCGATTGATGGTTGTCGCGGGCTGCCGCCGTTCCTCCGAGGTCTGCTCCGTGACTCCATGGGCCACGAGTTCGTCGCCATGGTCGGGTCTAGCTTGTTTCCTGGCGCGCAGCCTGAGTCGTGTCGGCACCCGCCCAGCGAGCAGATCCTCTGTCTTCGCTGCGGGGGTTGGTCCCAAGGGAGGGGTTTGAAGTTAGGCCGTCAGTGTGAGGCTCCGTCTCGCAAAGGTTTGGAGATTTTGTCTGAGTTCAGGAAGGGTCATTGCCCGAACCCCAGAGCGCGGGCTGCTCTTGATCGTGCGGTTCCTCTTGCTAGGCTTGGCCTATCCGCCGCCCCTCCTGTCCCAGACGCCCCAGCGGTTGTGAGGACCTCGCGCGCAAGTTCCCAGACGGCCCCCTCCTAGGAGCAGCGCGTGTCAGCCTTATGTGAAAGGATCCGTCCTAAGGAACAGGCCAAAGTGGCCAATCCCATAGGATAAGTTTTGTTTTGTTTTAAGCTCTGCTTAAATATCCCCTTCGGGTCTTCCGTTCCGGTCTTCCGGGTCTTCCGTGCCGTTCCGTTCCATTTTGTGTTGTGCACTCCCCTTCGGGTCTTCCGTTCCGTTCCGTTCCTCCCTCTTTCCTCCTCCTTCTCCCTGTTCCTCCTCCTTCCTCCCTCCTTTTTCTCCTCCTCCTTCTCCTCCTCCTCCTCCTCGTCTTAGTCCCTTTCGCTTTAGGGCTGCAAGATGGGGTCGCAGTAGATTGACTGCACGTAACGAGTGACCCTTCGCCGGAGTGGGCTTTGGCGCGGGCTCATCAGGCCCCCCCCGATCGCCGAGCTTGATGCAATATAGGCGACCTGCGCCCACAAAAGCTGCGCACCAAAGGTCACTCTTACCCAGGGTCGCTCTTACGTCTAGTCGAGTAGATTAGGTGAGGATGGAGGATCGCGCTGCATCGCCGACGCATCGCTAGGGCGGCCCGATGTGGGGCCCGACTTGCTCCACGCCGACGTCGCCGATACATCGCCCACGTCGGCGATGCATCTCCAGTGCATCGGTGATGCATCGCCGATGCGTCGCCGATGTTTCGGCGATGCGTCGCGAGCCTCCGACCCCATCTACTCCGACCCCATCTAGGAGGCCTATATGTCCACTTTGCAGGTAAAACAATAATGCGGCTTGCTTGTCTTTTCCCCAACGAGCTTTCTTCCCCACCCGATGGCCCCAGGGACTAACAAGTTCTCAGGGACATTTCCGTACCCTCGAGTCGGGGAAACGTAAGATTCGAGTAAGCCAGAACTAGGGTTTGCCGACGTTTTTGGACGAGCGGCTCCTGGAATTTGACGGTCCGGTTGTCGTGGGACGTTTGCAGCGGGAGTTCGCGTCAAATTTCAGATTGTGGTTCGTTATTTTCATGATGGCCCCGTCAGGCCAATCCGAGTCTTCCGTACCCGAGTCGTACGCATCCCTGATTACAATCGGCAAGTAAAGCAATAACCTGGCCTGCCAGCAGTTTCCCCGACGAGCTTCCTCCCTCCCCCCAATGGCCCCACGGTCCAGCAAGAGCTCTGGGACACCTCAGTGCCCTCAAGGATCGACGAAGAGTATGCCCAGGGTGTCTTATGGTTAGCTCTATGTTCCGTAGTCCTCCTCCGCCTCCTTTTTCTCCTCCTCCACCTCCTCATGCTCCTCCTCCTCCTCCTCCTTCCCCTCCTCCTCCTTCTGCCTCTCATGCTCCTCCCCTCCTCCTCCTCCTCCTCTTCCTCATTCTCCTCCTCCTCCTCCTCCACCCCCTCCTCCTCCTCCTCCTCCTCCTCCTCCTCCTCCTTTTTGCACGGTCAGGAACTTTGGCTTGGCGTGTTGCCGCTGCTTCGGGCCCAACACGCTTCGGCGCGACACGCTATCCACGTCCTGGTCCCCCAGCTTCATCGTCCCGAGCCTTCCCCAGCCTCTCATTCCGCGGAGCGGAGCGACACTGTGTCTGCTCGTGCTGCACAGCGTGCTGCAGGGGCCGCCACCGCGACGAGCTGACAAAAAAATGCCGTTCGCAGGTGGGCTACGGTGACATCGCGGCGCGGGGCCCCCGCTCGCAGCTGTTCTCCATCGTGGCCATGCTGACGGCGCCCCTCTTCTTCGGCACCATCCAGGGGAGCAAGCACTGACGCAAAGCAGGGCTGGACCTGAACGGTGTTTTGGGCGATCTCCTGGGCCGTTCTCCTTTCGACTTCGCTCTGCGGGAGAGGCGGATTCGAGACAAGAGCGAAGGAAAACGAACACGAAGCGAAAACGAACGACACCGTTTGGGTCCAGCCCTGGCACCAAGCAAGAGCCTGCGGAGGTCCGCGCGGATCTCTCGGACCCGCGCCGCACCCCCTCCGTGCTGCGCGGGGCGCGCCATCGGGCGGCGCCGGAGGCGCCGCCTCAGGGGGCCTCCGGCGCCGCTCCTCCGGCTCCGCGCGGGCCCCGAAAAGTTCATGCTTGCAGTGGGGACCCGTGCCAACCTGCGTGTCTCCAGGGTGCCCCTCCTCCTCGAGGGATGATGATGATGATGATGATGATGATGATGATGATGATGATGATGATGATGATGATGATGATGATGATGATGATGATGATGATGAGGATGAGGATGAGGATGAGGATGAGGATGAGGATGAGGATGAGGATGAGGATGAGGATCAGGATGAGGATGAGGATGAGGATGAGGATGAGGATGAGGATGAGGAGGAGGAGGAGGAGGAGGAGGAGGAGGAGGAGGTTTCGTGGGCCTCGAGGGTTTTGCGACGGAGAGCGCGGCGCTCCCACAGCACAAGTCGGTGGACGTCCTGGGGTCTCAGGGTCTGGGTTTCTCGTGGAAGGTCTCCCGTGGTCGGGCGGGCGGGCCCCACACGGTACTTCTCATCCGCGCGGGCTCCGAGGGTTCATGCTTATGCCGTTGCTTGCTCCCCGGCCATCGTGTCCCTGCTCACCCACCTCACGCGGCAGTTCTTCGACGACGAGGCCCTCTGGGCCCCCCAACCCAAAATTTTGGGAGGCTCTCTCCGAGAGAGAGGGCGGCGCCCCGCCGCACGACTCTGCGCCGCACCGCCGCCGCCTCGGCGATGCGGCGCGGTGTGGAGCCCGACCTTCTCCGCGCCGACGGCGCCGCTGCAACCCTGGTATCCGGAGGAGGGAAAGGTACCCATACAGTTGGGCCGCGCATCAAGAAACCATCTGAGTTTCGTCAGGGTGCCCTGGGTTTCTTCGTTCCGCGCTCTGCGCGGTGACTTCCGGCGGCCGTCAAAGGAGGTGATTCGTTCAGGATGCTCGGGTCTTTCCCTCAGGTGCACCTCGCGCGCAGGTTTCCAGGGTTTGGTTTCTTGCGAGGGTTTCTTGCGACCGCGCCCTCACTGTACCTCCACCCTTCCTAGTTTTTCCTTTTTGGGGCCTCCTGGAAGGCCCTCATCGCCACCGCTGGATTCGCCTCGAAATCTCGGTCAGAACGCACTCCAGGAGAGGTCAGGGGAGTAGCCTTTTGGTGTCCCCAGCATCGGCGATGCGGCGCGGAGCGGAGCCCGGTCTTCTCCGCGCCGACGGCGCCGATGTACCTCATGGGAGGAAAAGGTGCCCATACCGCTACCCTCCCCTCGTTTTCCCCTTTTTGGGCCTCCTGGGCGGTCCTCGTCGCCACCGCTGGATTCGCTTTGAAATCCTGGTCAGAACCGCACCCCAGGAGAGGTCCGGGGAGTAGCGGGTACCTTTTGGTTTCCCCAGCATTTGGGCGTCTCAACTTTTTGGAGCCGGGCGTTTTCGCCTTCTTGCGGGCCCCAGGGCCCTCACATATCGAGCCCGCTCGAAACATGTCGCAGCAAATTGAGGTCTAGGGCTCCGGGCGTGATTCTTTAAAATGCTGTCATTTTTTCGCTACGTCGGATCTCAGGGAACGCCGATGTCGCGATCCTCCGACCCCATCTAAGTACTCGGACCCACCCCGCGTGGGGCCTTTCTGGGGGCTGTATGGGACGCCTCTGGGGCTGTCTCGGGGCCCTCTTCAGGGGGCCAACTGTGCCGTCGTGGAGCGGTCTTGGGGACCTCTTGGGCCATCTCCGAGTCGCCAATGACCCTCTCGAAAAAGCTCCAAAGGGGGTCCAACGCGCCCAAGGTGGCCTCACGGCCCAAGGAAATCAAATATATGACTTTCGTATGGTTTTGGAATGAGTGCTTCGCATTCTCGCCGTGTCCAGGTTCTGAACCCCGCGACGGCTCGAGAAGCCCCCAAGAATAGTCCGCTCTGGGGGTCTTTTCGGGGTCTTCTTGGAGCCCTCCTATTTTGGGAGGGCTCCAGAGGTGGAGGCCCAGCTGGAGGAGGCCGCGCGCTTCACCCGGCGCCGGGGCATGTCGCTGGAGTTGCAGAAGAGGGTGGAGCACAACCTGCGCTACCAGATCGGCGTGGAGCGCAGCCTGATGAGGCACGAGGGGCCACGAACGAAGAAGAGGCACGCCATAAACATAAAGCGTTGGCGCTCCGCGCAGATTTCTTGGATCCGCGCTGGACCCCCCCCCCGGCGGCGCCTCCCCTGGTGCGCTCTGCGCGCCAGGGAGGGGTGCTCCAGCGCAGATCCAAGAAACCCGAGCGGAGCGCCAAGAGTTTATGTGTATTGTGTTTGTCTGTCTTATTTCCATTATCATCATTCCTATGTGTAAAAATGGTTTTATTATTTTGATCATCCTTATTATTATATCATTATTCTTAGTCTTATTATTCTTCTGCACGAGGAGCCACACGCTGCGTATCCAGAGAGGACAAGCCACCCCGACCCCGGTATCTCCCAGGCGTCTACGCAGCAGCCCTCCCCTGCTCCGTGCCTTCCCTGCGCGCGGTTCACTGCAGAGCTTCGCCTGTCAGGGTGCTTGCTGCGAGGCCGGATGTCTGGCGCCCAGCGTAGCCCTAAGTCGGGCGTGTCCCTCTATAGGAGGAAAACCTAAGAATAGCCACAACATCGAAGTCTGGGGACGCGTTTTCGATGATTTCTGACTACGTTTGGAGACATGTGTGACGCTTTTTACATGTTGTTCCTCCAACATCGTCCTGTAGGAGGACATGCCCGACCTAGCCATACACTTTTGGAGCTCCGCGTGGGTCGCCTGGACCACCAGCGGGCCTCCCTGGCGGCGCCTCCGGCGCCGCCCGTGGCTCGCTCCGAGCGCCAGGGAGGGTGGGGGGTCCAGCGCCGATCCGAGAAGTCTGCGCGAAGCTCCGAAAGCTCACGTGTACGCATTTGTTCTGTAACTTGATAGGCTTAGGTCGGGCGTGTCCCTCTACAGGAGGAGTTCCCGAAAATAGAGATTCAATAGTCTGGGGACGATTTTTTTGATTTGTTTTGACTCTTTTGGTACATGTTTTGATTACTTTAGTTTTGTCGCCCAGAATCCGCATGTAGGGGGGCATGCCCGACCCAATGATAGGCCCGAGTTGTTCGCGCGCCTGTCCCCCGCGATCCAGAGGGAGCTGTCCCTGGAGCTGCTGCGCAGCACGGTGCTGAGGTTCCCGCTCTTCCGCGACGTCCAGCACTCCTTCATCGCCGAGCTGGCGCGCAAGAGGAAGAGGAAGAGGTACCCATGCCGGTGCTCGTCCTGGAGAGTCCTCGTCTCTAGGCTTCCCGGATGGGGTCGGAGTGGACGGGGTCGGAGGGTCGCGGCGCATCGCCGATGCATCGGCGATGCGGCCCGATGCGGAGCCCGTGCTATCCACGCCGACGTCGCCGACGCATCGCCGTCGTATCGCCGACGTCGCCAATGTACCGCCGATGCATCGGTGCTTCATCGACGATGCTGCGCGGTCCTTGGACCCCATCTACTTTGAGCCTACCTGGGAGGCCTCTATCGTCGCCACGTCCGAATCCCCGCCGGAATTCTGGTTAGAACGCACCCCCAGAGAGCTCATGGGAGCAGCGGCATCGGTATCCCCAGACCCCTGACATCGTGATTTTCTCACAACCCTTCGGGGGGACCGGTCTTGATCCCGAGTCGTTTTTGCTGACCGCCCCGAGGCCCGGTGAGTGCTCTGCGCGGCCGAACGTACTGAAGGAAATGTGTCCGCGAGTAACGACGCGAGGGGGTTCTGCTGGGCTTGGCGCGGTGGTTGCTGAGGGGATCGGGGTTCATCAGTGGATGCCAAGGTGGGTTCTATCTGGCCTGATCTAGCCCAATGCCCGAAGTGGCTTCCTAGGGGGGTCAGATGACTCCGCTGCGTGGAGGGAGCCCCCTTTGCCTGGATCGCTGACCCCCTAGGCCACCTGGGGCGTTTGTGCACAACCTCTACGCTTCAGGCGGGCGCGTCCCTCTACAGGAGGAATATTCAAACATGATAAAAAAAATAGTCTGTGGACGATTTTGGGAGTATTTCTGTATATTATTGAGCATGTTTGAATATTTTTGTTCTTTCGCCCCAAATCCGCCTGTAGGGGGACATGCCCGACCTAAGGCTAGGCCAGACATGACCCACCTTGGCATCCACTGTCAAAACCCTCTCCTCTCAGCAGCCCCCGCGCCCATCGCAGCATCTCCGTCCCCCAGGTGGTTTTCGGACCACAGCTCGTACCTCTGGCGGCCGTTCGGCGGGAGGGTTTGGGCACTCTGGGAACGCCTCTGGGAGGCGCAACTGCTGGAGAGCACCCCGAGGCTGGAAAACCGTCGGGAGCCGACGAGACTGCCCGCAACCCGCGCCCCCCCCCCCCCCCCAGGCGCAGGTGCACACTTTCGTCTCCTGCCTGCCCGGCGACCTCGTCGTGGACGAGGGGCAACTCATGCAGGATGCGCAGGGAGCTTTTTTCGTTCGGTTGCAAGTCATGGGTGACGAGCGAACAACTCACACCCATATCCATAGGAGGGTCGAAAGGAGGGGAACTGGCTATGGGTATGGGTGCGAGTTGTCGAACCCTGGGGGAAGCTCCCGTTCGAGCGGGGACCCCCATCCGACAACACGCACCCATTGCTTCCTCCGTCCCCCCTATGGGTATGGGTGCGTGTTGTTCGATCGTCAATGCGAGTCTCGTGTGTCGCCGTAACTTGCGTCGACTGGCGTCGGCCAGCGCCAATTCGCAAGAGCCGGCAAGATGGCACGGGAGGCTTCCAGCCATGAGCTGCCACTGGACGCCCGCACGCCGCAACCGCGCCCGGCTGGGGTTCGCCCTGGGTTCACTGGCGTGGTGTGTGCACCCTCCTGGCAGCATGTTCTTGTTTCGCATGCTCAGGGCGTTTTCAGCCCACTTCCTGGCTGCGGCTGTTTTTTTGTTTTCTCCAAGTTCCGGCCAGAACGCCACACGAGAGAGGTCCCGCGGTCGAGTTTCGACCACCCCGTCGTGAATCTCGACGGAGTTCTTTTGATGATTGTTTTTGGTCTCGGAGGGGCCTTGCCAGACCTCTGGACCGTCAGAAGGTAACCCAAGGTAAACCGGCCACGCGCAGAGGGGGTTGGGGGGAGGGGGGAGGGCTTCTTAGAAGCACCCCTGCTTCTTAGAAGCGGCGGGCCTTCTCTGCAGATGTGAGGCCCGCGCCTCCTAAGAAGCAGCCTCCTTCTAAGATGCAGTCGGGCATGTCCCTCTTCTGGAGGAGTATTCAAGAATAGTCCACAAATAGTCTGGGGACGATTTTTCATATTTTTTATGATCATGCTTTTGGAATATTGTTTGACTATTTTGCATTTGTCGTCCAAAATCCGCCTGTAGGGGGACACGCCCGACCTACATCTAAAGAAGCCCTCCTCCCTCCCTCCTCTCCCTGCTGCGCGCCGCCAGCACAGGTCTGTCCGTGGACCCCTGCTGGCGGTACCCGGGAAGGGGCCCAGACCTCGCCCCCCCCTCTCTTCCCCCCTCGCCCCTC